CATATTGTCTAAAGTTTTGCCAATCGTTAAACATGAAAATTGCCTTTTGGTTTTAGGTGTTATTCTGCCGTTTCATTCTTATCATGTATGGTGTCTGTTTTCATGTGATTAGGAAATAGTTCACGCTGTCTATTTATTGTATTATTATGGAAATATATTTAGTATATAGATTCATTATTTTCATATCATTTTATTAATGCAGGTTGTTCGTTTTTTTTTAAGCTTATGGCTTCTAGCATTGGTAGCCATTGTTTACAGATTATGCAACATAGTAACTTCGTATTATTGGTAAATAATTTCTACTAATGTTATATATTTTTATTGTGTCAGTTGGTAATATGTGATTGAATTGCGCTATTATCAGATAAATGACACGTTAATTGATGCGATGTTATGTCTGCTCTTAAAACAATATATATTTTGATTCATTTATGATATTTAGAGAAACATCTCAAAACACATAAGCGAATTTATAAACGAAAGGTTTGTAGATGTATTGATGTTTTTCTTTAGTGATGTTAACATTGGATATTTTAGTTTATTTGTGTGTGTGTGTATGTGTGTACTGTGTAACAAATTATTAACGAGGTGAGAATTTTCCATTTTGTCCAAACACTACATGTTGGATTTTAACTAAACTTTCACAGAACGATAGCAGCAGTGATATACACGTACCTTGTAAACAGTGTAAAGTCCCGCATAAACACACAGAAACTATGGCCATTTGCTTAATTTACTTAAGTTATAACGGCTCCCAATTATTAGCTAGGTGTAATTATGAACGCATTAATTGCTTCATATACAGAGTGTTATAATATACAGTGTAACCCGGATATAAGAGAATTGTCGGGACCGGAGAAAAAGTCTCTTATATCCGGTTTTCTCTTATATCCGGGTTTGGTCTATTTTATATACATTAACAAAGGCTCTAATTTGGGACCAGCAGCTGACTAAGATTCGCGCAGCTTCCGAACTCATCTTCAATCCAAGAACAATTATTTTGAAGAGCGACTTAGATCCAGACCACCAAAATAAGTTTTTTCGACTTTCGCCTGAAGACACACCAAGAACCAATTTCTTGAAGAACAGACAGCTTAAAGTGTTGAAACTCGCCTAACAAAAGAACAACGTGTCACAATCCATAGAACGGGTCGGGAGAAAGACGCAGTCCTATGTATCCAGCAACTAGACATAAAGTATTGTTATCCTTTTTTTTGATACCTTGAACTTTTGAGTTATTTTATTTCTTTTATACATATTTGTGCGATACGACCCCCGCTTGGACCCAACTTGCATTACGGCCCTGACGACTGATTGATTTCGTCTGCCTAAGATCAATTCACAGCGTGGGTAGGCAGACTGGAGATCGACGCAGTTACTTTGGTAACCAGACGTTGGAAGCGAATTGGGAACGACGAGGCTGATATCGAATCTAACCAGTTTTCCATCCGAGTCACCAAAAGGTTAGAACGTCACATTTGGGTGCCGCGACCGATACCAAGCCAGTTGGTCGTCACAGGACGGGACAACACGACTGACGCAAACAGACGGACGTCACGTTTGGAGCGGCGACACCCGAACGAAGCAGCGAGGAGCGAGCGAAGGCTGTGTTTAGGGACGTCACAGTTGGTCACACTACAAACTCGCTTTCACGACGTTTGACACTACATTTGAATGATAAATTTAATATTTGTAGGCATTTAAAACATGTCTGGTCGCATACACAATTCTGGAAAAGTCTTGTTGAAAAAAAAACTATACTTAAAGATGAAAACAATTTGGACAATTTTGCTGTTACACGCTGTAGAACCTTGCTCGATTGTGAAGCTGCTCTTGGATGAGAGGTTAAAAGCCACCGTATCAGGCGGTGGTTTGTCCAGCAAAGGGAGATACAAATTCAAATGCTGTGGGAGGACATTTTTAATTTACTAAATGTTCTCGTATGCGAAAACTGGTAGACGAAATTAATACTATATAAAATAAAACGGGGCGCCTAAACAAATACGCGTATCAATTGAAAAATAACGTTTGAAGTAATAAAAATACATCGGGTAATAAATTAAAACTTCTGGATGAATAGATTCAATCTTTATGAAATCGCGAAATGAATGCCAACTTGAATGATCACTCTTCTAAATCTTTTTAAATTAATGCAGACGTCACACAGGGTTCTATTCTTGGACAAAATTTGTTCTTAAGTTTAATTAGTGACCATCCTGATGGCTTCAGCTCTCAACTCGGCATTGATGCTGATGAAACTATTGTTTAGTCTTGTCTTATTCGTACGGCCGATAGTTTGAAAAAGTTTAAATTGTAAGCTGATTCAAAAGTGATTTAATCTGCTGTTAACTGGAGGAAATAATGATTGCGTTGATTTTAACGCCTAGAATACAAAACTGCTTTTGATTAATCATATGGGATGCCCATTTCTGTATTCGGATGCTAAATCCCAGAAGAATGATAAGTTGTTACTTCTTGGAATATCGTTCTCTGCTGAAATAAATTTCTAAGATTACATCAAATGTTAGGTTTACTACAAGGAGAATTGATCCTCTGTAAGGTGGTAGATATTTATTCTCTCCAGAATCTATCTTATATATTTTTAAGTCTAGAACTATAGTCTATTGCTGTCACAATTTTCTGGTGCTCCTGTTATATATAGAGATAATTTCTTCATAACATCCAAAGAAGAATTGACAATGTTATTGGTCCTGGTTCAGCCAATTTCCCACCGCCATAATTTCTCTTCCCTGTGTGTTTTTTATAAATACTTTCATGGTAATAGTTATAGTGAATTTCGCTATTGGTACCTAGAATTTAGGAAATTAGGTGGAGTCCGACCTTAGCAACAAGGTCTCATCGCTTTAGAGTTGAATTAATAAGATGTATCCTTAAATTCTTTGCTACCAGTTTCATTTCTCGCACTTTTCAAGTGTGGAATGATCTTCCGGCTTCTTGCTTTTTAGCCAATTTTGATCTTCAAAAATTTAAATGCAATGTCAATAGTTATCTACAATTTTTTTGAATCCTCTTCTTTTTACTGTACTCGCTCCTTAATAATGTTTCTCTTCTTTCACATACTTGCATACTCAGTAATCCTTTGTGCCTTAGTAGCTTTATTGCCTTGCTTGGGTTGGTATACATGCACACACATACACACACACACAGGCACACACACACACGCATATATATATATATATATATATATATATATATATATATATATATATATATATATATATATATATATATATATATATATATTAAACAAAGAGAGCCAGACAAACCTATATTTTCACCAAAGCGGATCGTCAGGAAGCCTTCCCTGAGGATCAGCTTGGGTGAAAAACAATGGTTTGTCTGGCTCTCTAAACTAACTAGGTCTGCTCTATCGAGCAATTTATTTAGTTATTTTACCTACTCGTATCAGTTTTTTATTTATTTGGGCTTTGGACTGGCATGCTAGACGATTATTTTCGGCTAACGTACATGTTCTTGGTTCTTTCTTTTGTATAAGTTTTTTTTTTCCCCTTTGATATTGTTTTGATTATTTGCAATTCAAAACACTGAAGGTATTCCGAACGACCATAATTTCTTATACTTAAAAGATTATTATTACTACTACTACTACTACTAATAATAATAATATATATATATATATATATATATATATATATATATATATATATATATATATATACTCGACTCGAAGTCGACTTATGTGGGTCAAACAGACCAGTACCCAAGAAACTGACAGCCCGACACCAGCACCTGAAATTTGATTATAGTGGTGAAGGATTTGGCAGAACCATCTACATTTATTGATAGGCAAAATCCAGAGGCCTGGTGCACTACGTGCCACAAGGTCCCCAAACGACCCTTCGCAGGTTTTTGAATTCAGAGTTGTCCTTCTCCTAGACCAGATGCCATCCAATGCTATAGAACCCAGTCTGTCCTGCTATTTATCCATAGCTGGAGGGATAAGAGGATTCCCACGATTAGCACGTACACACACATGCACACACACACACACACATATATATATATATATATATATATATATATATATATATATATATATATATATATATATATATATATAATAGGCCGAGTAATGTAATTTGAGGAATAAAAAGACAACAATATGATGAGAATATTGAAAATAGGTTTTATGATATTTATTATGTATAAGCGTTTAGACTAAATTTAAGCACGAATAGAATAATTTTAATGTCAGAATTTTCAGACTCGCCTGTGTCCTTTTATAAACGAGACAAATTCTTCAAATTTCATTAACCGGCCTATTAACTCTAGATATTATGAGCAGCACATATAAACCATCTTTCGTTTAAATCACACGAACGCGCACACACTAACACTAACACACACGCACACATATATATAATGTGTGTATGTATGTACGTATTTGAAGCGAGAGAGAGAGAAAGAGAGAGAGAGATAGAGAGAGAGAGTGGGAAAACAGATTGCGTGTGACAGTTTGTGAAATAGAGGTAACACTTCTGGTTGACGTATGACAGACTGAATAAAATACGTATGTAAGGATTTGGAATATCAGAAATTTTTAGATTTTTCACCTGACGTAGTTAATATTTTTGTCATCGTGACCTGCACCTTCTATTGTCCTTTATTCTTATATCAAAATTAATTGAGTAAAGCGGTGAGCCTTAACTTTGTCCGTTAAACGAATCATAAGAATGGAAGGAGCAATGTGGATTAGCGATTTAAAGGGAAGGATAACCGAGGCAGTCCATCCCCAAATCACACTGATCAAATTGAGTGAATTTTTGACAGGACAGAACTGATTGTATAAGTTGGTACATTAAATTAACTTGCAGATATGATCATTGCCTTGTAAGCCAAGACAGCCATGGAAATGTGGCCGCAGGGAAACCAACAGCATTTCACGTTAGAAGGAATGTAATTTTATTAAAGATAAGTGTGGTTGGGAAAGTGGTTTACTGGCACATTGCCATTTTTATATGTTAGTAAATTGGAAGAGATATCTATCTAGTTATCTTGCTATCTATCTCAATTTGCTTCTACAATTCGGCATCCATATCTATCTATCTATCTATCTATCTATCTATCTATCTATCTATCTATCTATCTATCTAAATGTAGGGTAATTCTTAGCGCGATTCGGCTAGTTGACTATTTCTACTGAATTTTGTGTTCGATCTCATTGAATGTCCAATCAAAATTTCGGCATTAGTCTTATTAATGCTTACGGCAAATTCCCGTATTTAATAAATAAATACGTTAATTTTCCAATATTAATTATAGTTTTCTTAAATTAATCTGGCATAAATTAAAGAGATATTCTGTTATTAATTATCGAAATAGAATTTCTAATTGTAACCCGATATTAATTTTATGTTTCTAAAAATAATCCTTTATCTATTATTGGTTTCTAAAATAATCGATTATTAATTATCGATAAAAATAATCCGGTATTAATTATTAGTTGTTGTTTTGTTGTTGTTGTTTTTGCTTCTTTGTTTTTTTTTATACATAAGTCAGTATTAATTATCAGTGTCTAAAGTTAATCATGTATCACTTATTGGTTTCTAATAATATTCCTGTATTAATTATAATTCCAGGCAAATAATCTCTTATATGTTGTCGGTTTCTAAAAATATCCCTGTATAAATTATTTATTTTTAATATTAATCCGGTATCAAATATCGGTTTCTAAAATAATCCTTTATTAATTATCGATAAAAATTATCCGGTATTAATTATCGACTTATAAAGCTAATCATGTATCAATTACTGTCTTTTTCAACATAACCAGGTATTATACATTTATTTCTTAGACTAATCCCGTAGCAATTACCGGTTTCTAAAAATATTCCGATATTTATAATCGGTTCTAATAATAATCCGTTTTCAATTATCGGTTTCTAAAAATTTGGTAGTAGATATAAGTTAACCCAACTCAATAAAAAAAACTGTCATATGTTTGGGACTTCATAATTAAGTCGTAGCATCAGACGTAGCAATTGACTCAATATAATCTTACTCTATGTTACATATCAATACATTTTATTCAGCTCTGAATGTGTATGTATGTATGTACGTATGTATGTAAGTTTGGCTGGGTGAATCATATGAAGTCACATGAAGAAAAAAATCGCCCTTTGACATTCCGCAGACACAGTGTCATAGCCTTCACGCTGTGTGACAAGATATGCAAAACCAGCTCCGGACTGTAAAGGCACATGATGGTGCACAGAAATCAGGTATGGATGTGTAAATCCATCAAGGTTGTGGCATGCACATTGTTCGTCTGTCACTTGAGAAACAAGGCACGGATATCCGCAGCCCGCCTGGCAAGACGTGTGAGGTTGGTGAGAAATTTAATAGGTGGCCATCTTCTGTGGAGATGCAACGGATCATCATCATCATCATCATCATGAAGTATGTCTTTTTATTAGGAAATCAGCACACTTGCAGTATTTGGAGAAAAGTCACCGTTTCGACGGCTGGTCTAACCAGTCACATGATATCCCACGAGGGATGTCAAGTGCAAACTCCTTGAATGAGATTTGTGCGATTTTTATGAAAAAAAGTTTGTAAGTCTGTTACGAGATTCAAACAACACACCATTGTACACAAGAACAGTCAACTTTCCAACATATCTAAAACAGACGAACTTTATGTTTGCCACATGTAGAAGATAGGTTGTATAAGTGAAGATCGCCTTCAGAATCCCTTACGGGCTGATAGCAGTGCCGTACCTCGTGTAAAAACGATGGAAATAATAAAATTCTGTATTTCCCCCCCCAAAAAAAGAAAGCAACTAACAACTGAAAAGATTGTCTTCTTCAGCAAAGAAGTAACAATTATAATGTTATATTGTTTTACGCATGCGTGTACATGCTATGCTTACCTGGCGCAATTATGTCTTCACATAGAATAAACATAGGATCCCAACCCCAGTTAGTAGGTTATCATTAAATTCAACATTGCTCCTGGCTTCTCTATAAAACGACGAATGGAAATCCTATTTTGGCATGATCTAAGGTGAGTCTCATACTACATAATTTATTCTTTTGTAAAAATTATTCGCCTGATGTGAGCCAAGTGAGAATTAAGATAAAGAACAGGTACCAAATAATTAACCTGGTGTTTGTGATTGAGGCATATACAGGTATATCTATGGATTATACAACGTTAACATTAATACTCAGGGTGGCAGAAATATTATTCTCGGTCAAACCTTTTAAAGTAGTTTTATTTTATAAAGGTATTTAACATAAAAATAAACACCCACTCACACAATTTTAGGAACGTTAAATGCAGGAAAACTTTTGGGGGATAGCTTCTTGATGAGACAAAAGAGACAAAATTGTATTAGTAATTAAATGCATTGTATATGCTTACCATTTTCTTGCATGTCGGCTTATAGCCATATCAAGGAGAAACACCGGTTCAGCGATGTTCAGCAACCTTGAGCCTAGATGGGTGGGTGCTTGGAAATTCCAGTTGCTGTGAGCATGTAAGGGTGGAGTAACGTACAAGAACTCGGAAATGGAAATCGGTTAGTCGAGTTCGAAATCCAGTGAGGTCCGTTATATTAACTAGCACGAAATACTCCTGGGAAAGAACTCAATTCAACTTTGCTCGTCCCACCTATGATTTAATTAGTTGGAATTACAAAGATTAGTAACATCTGGCTGTAAATTACATTTCAATAGGTTGAGAGGAGGCAAAAATAAAATACACACACACACACATCCATATATATATATATATATATATATATATATATATATATATATATATATATTCAGGTAAAATGAGAGAAAAATCGAGTATGATTACACAGTATGTAACATTTAATTCAAAAGGGCTCAATATAAATTAGACATATATATATATATATATATATATATATATATATATATAATTTTATAATTTTATTTTAGGATATTAAATCATATTATAAAATCGATACACTATTAAAAGTATGTTTAAATATCATAAAAAATATCACTTCGGGCGATGTTAAACTACTACCGAATGAAAGATTAGTTTCATTTCAAAAGGTAGAATACTTTAAAAATTGGACTTGTGGCTTTACCGTGATTAACTAATGTAAAAACTAAAAAATTTTCTTTATGAGCAGATAAAGGTTGTTACATTGTCCCGTAAGGAGTATCGAAATCAGACGCTAAAACTTACCAAGAAGGAAATCGAAAGTGATGGAGAGGTTATTCAACATAATGTTAGCCAGTTATACGCTCGTTCAGCTTCTTGCATGAAATTTTGTAGTTGATAAATAAAAGATTTTGTAGTTGATAAATAAAAGACCTCTGACAAACAACTTAACCGTGCGATATATATATATATATATATATATATATATATATATATATATATAAATATATATATATATATATGTATGTATATATATATATATATATATATATATATATATATATATATATATATATATAATCAATTAGATCCTAATAATATAAAATATTCAATCTGATCCGCAAAAAAAGAGCTCAATATATTTCTTATAACAGACCATATAAATTGCACAAAAGAGAAATCCAAATTAATCTCATGGTTATAGTCTATTTCAACCGATGTCAAGTGCGCCGATCTTATTCAACCCAGACGGATGGACTGCGTTCGTGTCGAAAATAGTGATTTAAAATATAACAAACATAGTAGTCGAAAAATTGATACAGTGCCTGGTATGCAACCCACCTGTAATTTTAGAAATAGTGAAAATTGTTCAGTTGAGTAAAAATGCAGATCTTCTCTTGTGATAAAACAAGCAATGATTTACAGCAAAGAAAATAGGTAAAATCATATTGTTTACATTGGCACTTCCACGGGGGAATGGAAAAAAGTCTTTACACACATAGGCGCTCTTTTACCAAACCGATTTTAAAATGTCAGGCTACTCTTTGCAAAAAATCTCCGGAATTGAAGGAGGAAGAACAGAACCCTGAGATAGACTGGAAAGTTATTGGTTTTGCACATACTTCTAATAGTCTTAGGAATTGGTGTGACTTAGAGAAAATTAGAATAATAAAATTCAATAATCAATATATATATATATATATATATGTGTGTGTGTGTGTGTGTGTGTGTGTGTGTGTGTGTGTGTGTGTGTGTGTGCGTGTGTGTGTGTGTGTGTGTGTACAGGTATGTAGAAAATGGAAAAAGAACACGTTAGGTAAATAATCCAGGGTCCTTAGTATTTTTTGTTTTTATCTTTAAAAACAGTGCTCCATACAGAAGTGGAGCTTATATTATAATTATTTTTTTAAAAACATGATTCCTTTGCTACATAAGAGTTCTCATATTTAAAAAACGAGGGCCTTTTACTTTAATTCAATTTAATTTTAATAATTGTATTGATGGTTTCGGCTGTCGCTTTTGAAACTTGAGAACTCTTATGTAGCGAAAAATATATTTTAAAAAAATTATATTATATATATATATATATATATATATATATATATATATATATATATAACGCAGAAGTAAATCACAGCCAATACTTTCCAGTCTTCTTATCATCTGTTTTATGGATATCCTCACAGACAACGTAATATACGACATCCACCGCCAGTAATATTCTGAAAAGGAAATATAACTTCCGTTACGTGCATATTTATATCAGACTGACATAATATCTTTCTACGTCCTACCCAACGTATGTGAGTGACGAGTGTGCAAATATACAATGTCTGTAAAAAAAATACTTGTGCAGGTGTGTCTCTGCATGTGTATCGGTTGATTTCCCAGATGTTTATTTGCGCATGTGTGTTCTGTAATTGGATTGTTTCGAGGGGAAATAATTCTAACACCGGACACAATTAACAAACTGGACGATATTTTGGAAGTACGATTCCCTGACGCCATCAGTCGATTCGAGACCTGATTACTGAAAGTCAGTAAAAATAAAAAGTTCTGCGTGTTCAAACTTCTAGACAACCATCCCTGTCTCCAAATCATTTTCTCTTTACCACTAGTGCCAAAATCAGGCGCTGACGTCATTATCGACATTCTATCACTTAAACCATTTCTAGTAGTACATGACGTTATGTCTTGTCAAATCTCTGGGATGTATTTAGATATTTTCAAAATT